AAGAATACAGTGACTAGCTTCATGGTAGGGTTGCCTGTGATATCTCTGCCTGGAGTTAAAAGTAAATCTGCCAAGGCAAGGGTCTCACGTGCTTCCGCAAGTGTAACGGTGGCTTTTGCACACACGCATATTTATACACCTACCGAGGGCCTGAATTTCAGTTACTGCCACTTGATTCGCTGCAGCAAAAAAGAGCATGAAGGTCATGCTTGTCACTTAAACAAATGGGAGGTTTTTCCGTCTTTCCCTCATGTTTTCATGAGAAACAAAGCCCTACTTTAAAGCATTCTCAAGGACCTCTTGCAGAAGTCCTTGCAAAACAAAACAGATGCCAGGGGTAGACAAAGAGCTCTAAGAATCCTTCTTCTGAAAGAATATTGAAAAATAAGGGAAGGTTTTGCATTGACAAGAGAAGGAGTGAAAGTTCTGTTGTTTCTCTACCTTTCTACTTATTTAAAGTTTGGAGAATTGCATTATCCAGTGAACTACCCAGTTGAGGAAGCGATCTGGAGGTCCCATCGGCCTGGTATAATATGGAGTCAGCTTAATGACATCTAGTGCCATATTTCTGTAGAACTTATCTCCACCCATCCCAGCTCCACTCACACATCTACTATGGCAAGATCTCTGACGTTTGCTAGTGCCTCCAGTTGTTTTGGGAAACCCTAGGGTGTGCCTTCTCTGTGCCCTCAGATGGAATAATAAGCTCAAGATCTAAAATAAAAATGCCTTTTTAAAAACTTGGGATGCAATTATTTTCTCTTTGTGTAATCTTGGATTAGACATTTTTATTTTACTTTATAGTATTAGTATCCTTACCTAAAATGGGGACATTAACAGCAGGACAGTCCCAAAGATGTGACTCTAAGAAAAACTTTATTTTGCCAGACCCTATCTATATTCACAAGATGAACTGCTGAAATATGCCTATTAGAACCATCTGGTAGTTCAAGCCCTTGCAATCATGCAAAAGGAATGCTGAGCTGGCCACAGAAACAATCTGCTGTAAAGGCTGCCCTCCTAGAACCAGGACTCAGTCATGGGGACTCAGGATGACCCTGTTAGGAAGCCCAAGTCTTGGAGCTCCTTAGGAAACCTGGTGCCTCATAAGCAAGGAAGAGGAAAAAAGAACCTTGCAGGCAAGAAACAGAGTACAGGGTTCCCTGGCCAAATGGCACTAATGGCCCCAGCAATCCTCACTATTTAGGAAGGACTCTAAACACTTTCAGGAAGATATGCTATGGCATAGTCCCTTTAAGGTGCAAGGCTAGGGGTTGGGGCCTAACTTGAGGATGTCATATTGTGGTGAGGATTTAATGAAATTATGTAGACAAAGGATGCAAATGAACCAAACCAAGATTAACACTTAATAAGTCTCTCCTATTATTAACTCCTATAAGTTACTGAGCTACCATGGCTATTTCTTTATGTTTCTGCTGCATTGTAAACTGCATGTAGGAGATCAGGTAGTATTACTGCCACTCATGCTCAGTCCTGCTACTTCTACTGCTTTCTCTGCAAGAGATGGCTTCCGTTTTTCCTGGGTATTACCACTCCACCAGGTATACTGATGTGTCCAAACCCTCAAAAAGCAAGGTTGTGTGGTACAGTGGTGGTGAATCCATGCCATCTTTATTTACATGTTATAATCTTATGGGACACTAATCAACACTGCCCTCATCTGTGCTTGTCATTTGCCTACATTTCCCCTCTCCTGCTCTGCTCTATACTGGAAGTTGAGTTGGGCATACTGTGGCTTCCAGACTTCCTTGTCCACTGTGTCTGGTTAGGATTAGTGACTGGAAGGCACTGGTGGAGGCTGAATCTTTCCCATGGTTCCCTGTTCTTCCAAACATGCCCTTTGTCTGTGCTCCCACCCAAGCCAGGCCGATCCACCACTGTCCCAGCTTCTGCTGGGTGGCTCCAGCTCTGGCCCCAGCTTCTCACTCTGCTCCTCCAGGCCAAGAAGCAGGGAACAGCCTCCAGCATTTTCTAACATTAGGACAGACTCACCTCCACCTCTACCACCACCACCCCTATTGCTTTAACTGTATTTCTAACATCTTGTACATTATCATCCAACTTAAATTTTTCTTGTTTGACCACCTGGTAAGGTTTTAATTTCCTGGCTGGATTCTGACTAATGATGCATCCTAAAATACTGTCCCGCTTTTGGTAAAAACAGATCTTTCCTTTTTAAAACATAGGTCTCTCTCACACAAGCACCAAGTTATGAATCCATGAGGGGCAGGGCCAACACTCAAGCAAGAGAAATAGAGCTTTATACACACACAGATGTTTCTCCCTCCCAAACTCTGCAGCGCTTTGTACTGTTTCAAGTTTGTCTGCTGGTCCCAGAGGTGAGTTCTTTCCTAGAGCCCTTTGCTAATAAAGTTCTGATGGGCCTATCAAGTAGATATGCTGTTTTGGCCAAAACCTAATAATAGACATGGATGGCTTACACTAAAGGTTAGAACCGGCTCCACACTAAACACACCTGTACAGTCATCAAGCACTAGTTTTCACTCATTTAACAGATATTTATTGAGCATTTACTGTGTGCTAGGCACTATACCAGGAACTAGAGCTGGAGGAGTAAACCAGGCAAGCAAATTTCATGCCTTCATGGAGTTGAAAGTGCAATGGAATAAACAGACAATACTAGTAAACAGGTAAACAAAGAAAAGAACTAAAGGTCAGTGCTATGAAGAAGCAAATAGGGTGATATGCTAGTGAATGAGGGGATGGGGAGTCCAGTCCGATTTAAAAAGAGACTTGGACATGGCTAATATGGTTACTTCCATCCTTCCTATGAACTGAGTCATTGTATTAATCACATCTTTTTATCTAGGGGACTTGCTGACCCTGGGGATAATGCTCCTGGCAGGGTGAGCTAATTCCTAGAGACAGCAAACAATGCATTTGGAAATGACCTTTCAAATGCAAACCCACCAATCCAAAGCTCACATTGTCAACCCCCTCCTTTATGGAGCTCTGACCCTCTAGTTTACTATTCCTCTGCCCTGGCCTTGAGGGCCAGGTACCAGAAAACTAGGGACAGCCCTTTCACCCTGAGCCCATTGAAATTTTTCAAACTAGCCTATCCTAACCCCGCTTACCCTGTCTCTCCCATCCCTTCCAATGGGAACCACAATACAGGCTGTGCCCACTTACTGCCCCGCCTGACAAACCTGGTGTTTCCTGTGTGGCATGCCCGCCCCTTTTCTAGGGATCTGTGATTTTACCAAACTTTTCAATGGCAGTCATCTCCTGATCTGTTAGCCTGAATAATAATAAAATATCTTTTAAAACAGCCACGCAGCCTTTTCTTGTAGTGATGTTTTCTCTTTGCAGCATAATTATGTGAATGTATTCTTTCCCAGGACTAATTTGTAAACATCTTGAGGGGGGTTTGTCTTGTTCATGTTTGGATCCTACACACTTGATAATATTATTAGGAGCCACTAATCTGTGCTAAGCACTACACTTTGCTTATGGTTTCCATTTAATTCTCACAAAACCACTGATGATAAGAGCTTTCCTCCTATTTTATACATGATAGTCTGAAGCTGGAAGCAATGAATTAATTGCCAAGGTCACTCAGACATAAATAACATGGCCAGAACTTGAGTCCTTTCTTTTCTGTACCTTTAAACATTTAATTAATATGCATTTCCAGTAAGCATTTGTGAAACAAATTAATTTATGAAGAGACATGAAAGGAAAAAGAAATGAATGTCAGTGGTTCTAAATTAATTTTGGATGTGCTTTTCGAATGGATTTCTTATGGAGATTAAATTTATAATCGGGAGTGGAAATTCAATTAGCTATTCCATTCAACAACTATTTGTTGAGCATGTTTGGTGCATTTGGCCCTGTGGTAGATTCTGGAATGCAGCAATAGAAAACTGGGCAGGGCCCCTGTCTCATTTTAATTAATGGACACTGTTAGAAGCAAGTCGGTAAGTCTTTATTTTTTCCCTCTGTAAGAGGAATGGCAATTATAAAGAGGTCACCTGCATGTAGATGCAAGACACTGATCAAGAAAAAGAAAAAACTCAGCCTGAGATTTCATCTCTCTCTCTTCCTTCTAGCTAAAAGAAGATGGTCATCAGAAATGTCAAACTAGAGCCTCGTATTTTCTTTACTTGCTGCAAATTGGACCGTCAAAAGTCACCCAAACTTAAGTCTACATAAAAAGGGAAAAAATTGTCTTCGAATTTGTCTTTAAAAGCACAAGCGTATAACATATATAATCAAATGTCACAGCTCAGTGTATCAACTTCATAAAGCTTGGAGAAAAGCAAGACTATCTGTTCCTGGCTGCTTTCCACATTGATCCTTCTCATTTAGTGCAAGCAAATCAGTCCATTGTCATTTGAGGCTAACTTTTAGCTCCTTTTCTAGGCACTGCAGAGAAATCCAAATGGAATGGGAGCACAGGAGGATTTCATACAAGAAATGACCAATACCAAATAGAAGCAGAATCTAGGGAACAATCAGAAGGAACATAAGTGATCAGTCCAGGCTTGATTTTCCAATGAAGGCTTCCTGAATTCAAGTGGTTCTTGAATCCACAAATTTGGATAAGCAGAGAGGATAAAAAATAAAACCAGTATCTGCAATGTTTTATCTTAGAAAACAATTTGAGACAATCAGGTGGGCTGAAAAGAAGGATGCAAGCACAGTGTGTCTTTTATCTTTCTGTGCCAGGACTATCTGACCACAGCAGGTGTCAAACACGTGTTTAGCTTACAATCAATCAATGAGTTGTGTCAGATGAATCTGATGCAAATGAATGGCTACAAAAGGATAAACTCTAAGTTTTATCTGGCCATATTTGATCAATACGGGTTCTTGAACAGGGGAAAACCTGACCATAGGAGTTTATAAAGCAAATTAGTGCTGGGGGAGGCAGAAAGGCCTTTCAGTGTCCTCGACTCTGGGCCCAGATGACCATACTGCCAATCCATGGCCTACTCCCACATTCACAGCTAATTCACTGCCTTTTGAGGGAACCAGGACAGCATCTGCTACCCTTACTTCCTGCAAGATGTCAAGCCTCACCTAGGACAGATCTTCCGTGTCCAGCAAGCACTCTCCTTGCCATGATCCTGTCCTAAGTCCTGCCTTCCACTGCCCTTTATACAGGAATGATTTCACCATGTACCATGGTAACCTTGCAGGGATCTACAGAGGCAAAAGGT